GCCTGCTCGAGGTCTGCGGGGGGCTGGCACCACGCGCGCACCATATTTTACCAGCACGATTTCCTCCTCTGGCATCAGTGACGGGAGCGGGGGCGGAGATGGGGGGAGCCCGGGGGAGACACAAATGTGTGACTGCAGCATCCTCACTCTCACGGCTGCATCCCTCGCGCCTCCTCACGGTTGCCTTAGCAACCTCCTATCGATGGGGTATTTATAGAGGAAGCAAACGCGTGTTGGGAAGCCAGAGGGGGGGACCAGGACTGGGTGGGCGTCTGCTAGGTCGGTCTCCAGCTTCACGCTTCTCTCGGCTTGCGTGGCTGTGCGGAGGCAGGAGGGATGCTGCTTGCCTTGGCATTAGTGCGTGCGGTGGTCCAGCTTTTCCTGCTCATCTGAGCTGGGGGAGGTGGTTAGGGATTTGCGTGTGGGAATAAAAATAAGTGTCTGGGACGTCTGCCCTTCTCACAAGCACTGCTCGTGCTTGTAGGCTTGCGTAGACCTGGCTTATTGGTGCACTGGAATAAACCATCTCTGAGCTCTGACACCGGGTGTATTGGCACAGATACTTAGAAAAAAGTTAAAGATAAAATCTTCCTGACGCATTAAATGTGTTGCCTGATGTGTGACGTGGGTTATGGAGCTGGGGGTCCTGACAAATCTGGTCTTGAATATCCTTATTTCTGCATCTCTCTTCTCCTTTCTGTCAAAAGGGGAGAATGCCTATAACAATGAGCGATACAGAGGTTTTGTGTGGAAACAGTGGCAAGTTTTCCATGCTGTGTGTTCTTTTATCCTGTGGGTTTGGGTCTCTTTAAAAAAACCTGATGATAACAAAAGCAGGTCAGGTGGTCCCAGCTCAGAGCTGATGCAGCCTGTGGGGGAATGCACAGATCCCGGGGCCTCTCAGCTGCTCTCACATCCCCCAGCACGGCTCAGAGAAGCGGGGTTGGGTGCACAATTTCTTGAGAAAAGGTGCGGGCTGTGGGGTGCAGGAGGCGGCAGACCCCTCCTGTGTAATTCTGGTGCTCTGCTGCTTTCCCTCACTCCTGCTTAAACTCCACCTGAGGTTTGCAATCTGAGTTTCACAAACTGTTGGAAAGAAGCTGTTTTCTGCCCCTGGAGACAGCTCCAGGCTTGCTTGGTCTCTTGCCACTTTTGGTGCAGAAACCTCAGAAACCACAGTAGGGTTGATGTTGGCAGCGAGAGGTGCTAGATTTACTGAGAAGGTGGCTGTTGGTAAGGTGTCGTGGTGCCTGCTGTGGTGGTGTGCATCAGCCTTTCTGTGATTTTGGATGCCTGCCTTTTACGTGAAATGAGAAATACGTTTCTAGCCCCACTGACCCCGTGAAGGGCCCTGTGCTGTCCCTGACCTCTCGCTCCAGCTGAGCAGATTCAAGTGCTTTTGGGATAACTCTGAATATCTGGAGTCCTGGACCTAAGATCAGCATGTGGGTTAGTTCCTGCTGTTTCTAATGGCATTTGCTCCTTCATCCGCAATAAATCCCTGTAGGGGCTGGTTAGTCCTGTCCCCTCTGTCTGCTGACAGAGTTGTGGCTTTGCCACAGCAAGGTGTCATACAAGGCGAGAGCAGAGGAGCTTGCTCAGGATAGTCTGATCGGTGGGGCATGGAGCACAGGTAGAAGACAAAGTGTGAAAAACAAGTGAGTGAAACTCCTCCTGTGAGCAGCGAGGGATATACTCTGCTTCTGCAGGATTTTGTTTCACTCTTGTGGGGTTTTGTTTAGTTTAGTTTTGCTTTTGAAGCACAAAAGGTGCTTTTCCAGCTGGAGAGCTGTTGTCCTGGGTGTGCAGGGAGCTCTGTCACTTTGGCTGCTGCCCTTAGCTTGGCCCAACAACCTTTAGGAGATGCATATCCTTTTCTTTCTTGCTGTGTAGTCAGCTTTATGGCAGTGAAAACAGAAATGAAACAGTATGGCCCTGTTTATTGCAGATCGTGGGTAGGAGTTGCAGAAGTGAGAACTGGCACGGCTGTGAAGTTGATTTAAAACAGGATGACTGCTTTACCTGTATCCATTGATCTCTTGTGGAAGGGAAGAGCACCAGGCTGCTCCCAGCAGCTTCTGACACGCAGGTCATCTCGTCAGCTGATGAGATATGGGGACTCTCCATCCAGTTCTTCCCTTCCTACTTGACTTGTCTGCAGCCCTCTGGGCTTCTTGGGCAGGGCCCCGGCCCCCCCTGGGCTGGTGCAGCACAAGTATGGCAGAGACCTGCCCCAGGCTCTCAGAGAGCTGAGGGTGCCCTGAGCCCCTCCAGTCCCTCCAGCCATGTGATGGGTGGGGAGGCAGCATGAGTCCTTGGCTCTCTGAAGAGGCACTGCTTGGCTGGGAACTTTTGTGGGTCTACCAGACAGCACCCTGCTTTCTGCATGAATCTAACCCTGGGCGATGGAGGTCTTGGGCTTCAGGGGGTGAAATTTAAGCTGTCGGTGACTCTCCTGTTTTCTTCCCTGCAGGTAGGCAGGAGCCCCCCGTAGCTGAGTGAGGCAGCATGGCAAGTAAGTGTTCCCCAGTCAAGACGGCGAGGTGGTGGTGCTGCTGGAGGAGAGAAGGGGGATGTTTGGCAGCCGTCTTTCAAGGAAGGAGTGCCTGTGCTTTTTGGGGGGTGTTACTCTCTGTGGGGAGCAGATTCCATCAGCTGTTACCCTTGGATGAGGTCTGAGGTCCGGCCTGACTTGTGCTTCTCTCTACCCTTTGCAAGGCAGGAGTTGAGAGGAGGTGCTGAAGGGCTGACCTTTCCGTGATTCCCCGTATGCTGCAGCATTTCTTTATTTGCGTGATGCTGTGCAAGGCATGCCTCCCTGAGGCTCTTTGGACTGACTGGCCCCTCTGCAGGGGCTGCCAGTCTGCGCTGACATCTCCTAGCAACGGTGCTCCTCGTGGCCCATGACTGGCATCCCACAAACCTCCCATCCTGAGGGCCACATTGCCTTGTAGCCTGCGTGGCTGGTGGCACTGGGGCTCTGCATTCCCAGTGGATGGGCAGCTGCCTAACTCAGTCCTGCCGGGAGCTCGCTGCGTCTTGGTGTCTGAAGGAGTGCCTGGCAGATGGGGCCAGCAGCTAAAGCTGGGCTGAGACTGGTGAGGGTGCAGGGTGGAGGATGGCGTGTGGTCTGTAAAGAGCTGGACTCAGCCCTCCCTCCTCGCTCTTCTGGGCAGCGTGCACGGAGGCTGCATGCAGCGACGTGATGGGAGCTCAAGGAGGATGGCAGCTGTGAACGGGGAGATCTAGAGATCTGGCTGGGATCTCGGGATTTGCTCGGGGTGCCGCCGGAGCTAGCTATGAAGGTGGAAGCAGTAGCCACGCTGGGCAGGAGGAGGACCACCGGGATGACAGGTATGCTTTCTTTCATTATGTGTGCTGTGCTAGGTGGGGGAGGGAGCAGGGATCCTCAGGCAGTGTTTTTGGAAGGCAGTTTTAATCTTCTGTTAATAAGGCAGGGTACCCAGCTGGGTCCCTGCCTTCCTCCACTGCTCCCTTTTCTCCCCCCGCAGAGCTCAGGCGCTGGCTCACCAGCACTTACTGGTTGTGGGAGGTGTCCCCTGTGGTGGCAGTGTCCCCCGCCAAGCAGTCCCCTTCGCGGTGACCCTGATGTGCAGGAGGGGGATGTGGTGGTCAGCATGTTCACCATCACGTGCTCTCCGGCAGTGTGCAGCCCTGGCTGTCCCTCCACAGACACAGCCGCATGTCATTCTGCAGAGAAGCCGCCCCGGGGTGTCCCCACAAGCCGGGCAGGAGCTGTGGGGTAGCGGTGTGGCCAAACCTGCCTGCCACCAGGGGCCAGCAGCACCTCAGGAAACCCAGCAAGGATGCGGTGAATGCAGCTCTCGCTCCTGCTCCCCCTGCCTAAAGCTCTGATCTTTCCTGAGCACCGGTTCTCCAGCTGGTGTGGGGAGACTTGCGGAGGCACAGGGTGTCAGTACTGAGGCTGCTGGGCCTTGGGAAGTCCCCTCTGCCCTACGGTTTGGGGACACTACCCGCTCAGCTGTCTGCTCTTTGTGTCAGTTGGGGATCCAGGCTGGAGATGAGAGGTGGCAAGGCTCTTGTTTCCTCAAGGCCATCAGTTTTCCTGCTCTGGTCTCCAGGCACATGGGAGCTCTTTGCACTTTCTGTGTAAAAGAGGGGAGGGATCAGTGACTTAGTTTCTGCTCTTCTGCCATTTCTAGGTCCCTGAGGGAAATTGGATGTGGGGAGAGGCACACACCTCCATTGCAGCATGCTTTTAGTCAGGACATTGCTCGTGATACCTGCCTGCCTGTGTGTCTGTTTTTATGTCCCATCATAGTGGCCAGTTCAGCACGGCAGAGCAGGGTGACTGGTATCTGCAGGGATGGAAAACCCTGACAGTGAGATCTGCGGCCAAGCTTGTTGTTCCAGGGTGTGCTGAGGAAGTTGGAAAGAGGCTCAGACTCAAGTGCTGAAGAGGGGAGAGTCGATACTGCAGCCTGATCAAGGCGGGAGACGAAGGAGGTGAGGCCAGACTCCTCCAACAAAGGATGGGACGTTTGCAGAATGGATGGTGTCTTTGTAAAATTTCATCTCATTCTGGAAAGGCTCAAGAGAAGGTCGGCCTGCCAACCTGCTCCCTCTCCAGCCCGGATAGCCCTTCTCAACTGTGAAAGCCAAGGCAAGCTCATCCCTGCCCTCCTGCAAGATGCCTTCTGTGCCTCTTGAAAATGCTTTTTCGGTTGTTGTTGTAAAAAAAAAAAAAAAAATTTTGCATAATAAAGTTGATTCTGAGGGAAGGTCTCTGACTCACATCATTCATGCTGCTCTTCATTCACACCTCAGTGGTTCAGCCCTCTGCAAACTCTCACTGAAGCAAGCCATTAATAAATCAAGGGGGGAAAATGCACCTACACAGCACAAAAAGAACACAGTGCCTCCAAGCATGGGATGGTGTAGCACAGTAGTAGTTGCTTATGCCATGGTCGTGTCCCTGCCTTGGTATTTACAAATACTCTCACAAATCCCTTGATGTATTGTTTTAGGAGCAGGGTACATGGAAGGTAAAGCAGAAGGAAACCTGCTGGTCTCTCTGGTAAAAGACTCCTAATGAAAGGAGTTGGTAGCTTTTCACTAACTGTTAAGTTTGATCTTCACCAAGCTCCTTATTGAAGGAGTATTTCTGTGTTACAGCCAAGCTGGTCTAATGGGAGATGCTGGCTGTCCCCTTGCCTCCTTGTCCTGCATCTGCTGATGTTGCTGCAGTGTGAGTTGGTTCATCTGGTTGATGCAATGGAAGACTGAGCCTGAGGGTGAAGGAGGTAAATAGGTTTCTGTGGATCAGCCAGCTGAACCGATTCATCTGCCTCAAGGGAAGCAGCACAGTTATGTGACTTGGTGGGAAGAGGTGGTGCCAGCCTACAGCCGAGTGTGTTGAGCTGCGTTACGTAAACACTCTCTTATGAAGTGCTCCATGGGATGTTTGGATCCTGGAGGGGCTGTGGTTTGTGTGGAGTTTCTGCTTTCTGGGCAACAACTCATTTGTCTCTCCTGTGCTGCTACAGGTCCTGGTAGCAGGTACTTGCTCCTTGCACCCCATGGAGGTCTGTCTCCTGCAGAATATGGCGGGAGAGGCAGGAAGCTGCTGTTCCTGCTCAGTCTGGCTTCCTGACTGCATGCTCTGTAGGAAGACCTGACGTGGGCAACGCAGAGTCTCCCAGGCTTTGGGAGCAGAGGAAGGTTTGTAAGGCCTCTGCACCAAAATCCAGTTGGGATGAGACTCTGATGCCATGTGAGGAGAGGTTGCTGAGGCCCCTGTCAGTATCTGACCCCCTGTGCTGTCCCTGTGTGTTGGGGATGTTTGCCTTTGTTGGGCCTGGGCCTGCGCCTGGGAGAAGATGTAGTGGTTTCTCTGGGAGCTGAAGAGACTCCCTGAAGCCACGTGAGCTTGCATGACCCCACAGCAGCTGGCAGCAGGGACACCAGCTTTCAGCAGGCTGTCTGCTCTCCTCCTGGAGCGGTGTGGAGATGTGAAGCAAGAGAGGAGGCTCTGGGGTGATGCATGGGGGTACTGTGGAATGATGCACAATGCACTGTGTGTTGTGAATCTGTCTTGGTGCTGGCCCCGTGTCTTGGCAGAGAGGCCTGGCTCTGCGTCCCAGCCCTGCAGGGTCTTGCTTGCCTGGTGGGATCTCCGTTGCCCTGCAGCAAAGGGGCAGCAAGGTGAAATCCCATCAAGGGCAGGAGGTTGAAAACAAATCTTTTTGGAGCCTTCTGTCTCTTCTTCAGCTGTCTTGTGTGGTCTGCAGCTGCTGCTTCTGATGTCTCTAGCATCTCAGCCCTGCTGGAAGGATGCGCCTGGTACCTTATGTCTCCGGGCAGACCCCAAGAACCCTGCTCCCCTCTGGGTGTGCTCTTCCTCAGTGGGCATTCTGTTGTGCTAACTGAATTGTAGCCCTGGGCTTTTGGTGTTTGGGATGCCTGTATCACCAAAATCCTGTGGGAAGCCAGGTGAGAAAGCCTGGCTGGGCAGAGGCCATATGTGGGGTTGTCCCTGCTCAGCATGTCTCTGCATTGTGTGTTGCAGTGTTCTTT